AGAATATATCAAATGACTATGTCAAGCCTTTTTTGGGGGGAACAGTTGATAGTGCTAAATGAAGATGCCAAAGTGTGATCTTACACATGCAATATAGGAAAAGATAAAGTAAAAATTGGAAAAACACATTTGCCACACAGACCATCAAAAAGGATTCATGTGGAGAATATATAAAGAACTACTATAAATCTGCAAGAAAGGAGCAAAAAAAAAAATGATAGAAAGGGACAGAAGACACGAACGACCATCTCACAGAAGAGTAAATACATATGGCCAATAAACATTTGAGGAAATATCAAGGAAATGCATAACTAGATGCCTCTGATACCCATTTGATTGGCAGAATTTAAAAAAAAGATGCCATTATCAAGTGTTATAAATTATATAGATACATAGGATTGTCAGGGGGAGAGTAAACTGGTAAAACCTTATTGGAAAAAAAATTGGCATTATCTCATCAAGTTAAGTAGTCACATGTCATATACCCTGCAACCCCGTAATTCCACTTCTAGGTATATACTTAAGAAACACTTGTACATATGTGCACCAGGAAGAATGCACAAAACTATTCATAGTAGTACTATTCTTGGAAGCAAAAATCTGGAAACATTCCAACTGGATAAGTAAATTCTAGAGTACTCCACAATGAAATATTGTGAGGCACTCAAAACTAATGAACTGTAGCTACACATAACAATATGGTTGACTCTTGGCAATACGATATTTTGGGGGGGGAAAAAGAGGTGGTTCCAGAAGACTACAGGCAATATGATTTCTTTTCTAAAAAATTAAAAATAACCAACCAAGCAACATAATCTTAGAAATGTACATATATAATAAAACTGTTTTAAAGGAGATGACAAGCACAAGATTCAGAAAAGTGACTAGCTCACATTGGGGGAAGCAAGCAATGAGCTAGCAAAGACACACAGTTATGCCAGGATCTAGTTCCTATGGCACACATGTGCTCTTGGGCCAGAGATTGACCCAATTCTAAGCACTGAATATGCTACGTGATTACTTAGTGTTCAGGACCCTCTGATATGTATTTGTGTATTTGTGTGTGTGTGTGTGTGTGTGTGTGTGTGTATGTGTGTGTGTGTATACATATATTTCATCTACACACTTACCAAGGAAACTAGTGTGTTGATTTTAAATGAGCAATTAAAAGTAAACTGTTATTGTTATGATGATGATCACGAAGCAACAAAACACACATCCTATGCTAAAAGTTTTAATCATCAAAAACAAAGGGGAGGGAGGAGGATACTATAAAATAGGTAAGATGGAGAGAACAATAATGACCTAGCTCGTGTCACTTACTTATAGGGTGAAGGCTGCCATTGGAAAAAAAAAAAAACACACAGAGCGTAAAGGAAGGCTTAAGTAAACGAGAAAGGACATTACTCAGTGGTGGGTTCCTCAATCTCACTGTGCCTCAGAAAGCACCTGGCAAGCTTAGAAAAAATACAGAAGTCTGGACCCCAACCTGTAAAATTCTCAACCTCTAATATTCTCAATCCATTCAGGATATCAGGATGTTTAAATGATCCCCAGTGTTACTATGTGTCACCAAAGCTGAGAACCTCTAATCTTGTAGGGGAGACGTCAAGTTTGATATCAGCCTGCCCAGGTGTTCTAGTTCCATGTCTCCCATTACCTAGAGAAGCTTTGCTCCAATAATTTTAGCTCCTTGAACTTCTATTTCCTCATCTCTAGAGTGGAGAGTGTCAAGGGCAAGGAGGAGGGGCAAGTGGACTCAAGACATCGAAAGAGCATCAAATACTGATTTCATGACCCCTTCTATTTATGTGCTAGGCTAGAATAAGGGTAATCTCAGCAAAAGGAACTTCACTTGCTTCAATCCAGGGAGCATGAAACTGTGCACAAGTTAGCAATTTCCTGGATGGATGACTGGATATTGCTAAAGGGGTGATTAATTAAAGAGGCACTATAGTCTAATGATTAAAAGCAGGTGCTGGGAAACCTCCATTCAAGACAACTCAATGACTTTCATCTTTAACAACTCTCTCTGCTACAAAAAGTTAAAATTTTTAAAGAAAAAAAAAACGATAAGACCAAAACCAATTGCTGTGGACCAGAAAAAGAACAGAAAATCAAGAGACTGAACAGACCCATGGATCTGCTGCAGCCTGAGCTGGTAATCTTAGAGCTTGGCTTCCGTCGGTTAACGAAGAGAGATTATAGGAGACTGAAGTTAGATGGAAAAGCTAGGATCACTGCATGAAGCCAGGGCTAGGCAGAGCTCCCACATAAGCAAAAGGAGGCCCGGGAAAAATGGTAGCCTGCAACCAGGGGCAACAGGCTTGGAAGACATTAGACAGTGAAATCAGAGGGAGAAAAAAGTCATAGACTTTTGTGGCCAGAAAGTGAAGCTAGACAACCACAGACTGTGTGACTGGATGTGAGATCCCTCACTATCAACACAGAACAAGAATCTTAATGCATGCATCTACAGCTGGAGGCAACCATAAAATGTATACGAAAGAGAAGTTTTCTAGAAAAATATAAATGACCAAAATTGACTCAAGAAGAAATAGAAAGCTTGAATAAACTAATGCTAGAAAAAGTAGAATCAGTTATCAAAATCTCTTTCCCCCCAAAACACCAGATGCAAACAATTTTAAAGGTAACTTAGCAAATCTATAAGGAGCAGACAATGCATATCTTTTATAAAATATTTCAGAGAAAGGAAAAATAAGAGAAAGTTACCCATCTAATCTTCTAATACCAAAATGTGACAAAGGCAGCACAAGTAATCAAATTATAAACATTTTTGTGAACACAGATATAAAAATCCTAAATAAAATATAAACGAATAAATTTCATAAAAAATATAAAAATATTTCAAAAATACTTTTATCAAAGGAAGGTAAGGATGATCTAATATAAAGGAGATATATCGTATGACTTTCTCAATAGGCACATAAAAAGCTTTTATACTAGATGTCCTAGCCAACTAATAATATCAAGATTAAAGAATGAGATATAAAAAATGGAAAGGAAGATAAAAACCAACCTTATTTATGATAACGTATTTTTACATACAGAAAATATGAAGGTATTGATCAAGTATTAGAACAAATAAGAAAATTAAGCAATTCTCATGTACAAAAAGCAATCTTTAAAGAGCTAACAACATTCCTATACGCTAATGTGAAGAAATAATAGGAAAAATATCTCATTTACAACAGCAAGAAAAATGATGAACTCCTCAAGAATAAAAGTGAAAAAAATCTTTGTAAGAACTTTATAGAGAAATTTTCTAAAATGTTACTGGGAATCATGAAAGAAACTTCCACAAATGGAAAGCTATACTGTGTGCATGCCTGGGAAGCCTCAATTGTATAAAGGCTCAATTCCACCCCCAAATTAATATATTAATTCAATGCAATTACAATCCAAATTCTGACGGGGCTTTTTATGGAGCTACACAAGCTGATCCTAACATGCATGAGTAAGAAGTCCAAATTACCTAAGGACAAGCAGAAGAATGACATGAAGAGATGTGCCCTGCCCATATCGAGTTTTCTAACAAAGCAATAGTTTGGTGCTGGCACAGCCCCAGACCACAGAACAATGAGACAGAACACAGCGCAGAGAAGCCACTTTCATTCGGCACAGAGGAGAACGAGGGTGAATGAAGTGTCCTGGGGTAAGTCCTGCTCCATCTTGGAAGGATGAAAGTAGATCTCCACTTCACTGTATTCACAAACATTAAATTCCAGATAGGTGTGGGAATAAACGCTCTAAAAAACTGAAAAAGGAGGCTATCTTGGTGATAACAAAGAAAAACATTTCAAAAATAGGACCCACCAATCACTAACCACGAAAAAATCCTAACAAGACTAAAAACCTCAACCGTAAACAGTTGATTACATTTAAATAAATGTAAACTTTCTGCTTGTTATCATAAATAAATTGCAATTCATATAATTAACATCCAGACTCTACAAAGAATTTCTACACACAAATTTTAAAAAGACAAATTTCCTACCTTTAAAAAATACCCTGAAATATAAAGCAAGTATGACAGAATATTAAGATCTAATAACATTGGGTGATAGGAACATGAGTGTCTATTGTGTTGTTCTCTAAAGTTTTCTGTGTGATTGAAATAGTTCAAAATAAATTTAAGTAAAAATAAAGGCAGTGCTTTAACACCAGACAGGCCTGCTATATTCAGGTTTACTTCCAACACTTAGCAGCAACCATAGATGAGACGTTCAACCTTTCAGTTAAGGATCTCAGCTTCCTTATCTGGAAAACTGGAGTAGTAATTCTACTACTGGATTATTGGATAAATAATATTGGATAAGGGGCTTCATATAGGGCTTGGCAATTGCCAGTACTTAATAAGGCCAGTTATTTTCATGTTAATAATAATATACTTAATTATTATATGTTAATATACCATATTATATGTTATATGTATATTATATGCTAATATAATATATCTTTCATGTTAATAATAATATACTTAATCCAATCATTTTTTTTCTCTCCTACACATAATATCCTTAAATCTACCACATGAAAACAAAAAGAAGAAGAAAGATCAGTCATATTGAGCCTCTGACCTAACTGATGTAGCACATGCTTTTGAGCAGTATGTGACATGCATTTATCTGCAAGAAAGCTAGGCAGATCCAGGCCTGGATACAACCTAAAGTACGAAGTGTAATAAGTCCTGGTGTCCACATGTGCATCAGAGTTCCCTAGTATCTCCAAAGCATCCACCCCCTGCCTTGTCTGCTAACTTCCACTTAGGAGTTAACCAAGAACAAAGGAGTTTGTGAGTATTCCTCTGTGTTAAGACAGGATTCTTAGAAAAAAAAATGTCCTTCAGACCCAAAGGACTGTATTAATAGCAGATTAGGTTCTACCCTAAGCTCCCTCAGGTCACACCGAGTAGAAATTTCTTGTAAGGCAGGACTGGAGCTGGGGTGCCTGGCTGGCTCAGTTAGAAGAGCGTGCGACTCTTGATCTTGGGATTGTGAATTTAAGCTCCATGTTGGGTGTACTGATCATTTAAATGAATAAATAAATAAAAACTATTTAAAAATTTGCTTAAAAAGATAAGACTGGAGCTGGAACTGTAAAAGTCATGTGCCCTGACTTCTGAGCCAACATTCTTGCATTTATGCACACACACACACACACACACACACACAGAATTTTCTCACACAACCTCTGCTTTTACACATGAGTAGAGCCATCTTGATTAGGCCAATCATTATAATTACATCCGGATACCCTGTTGTGGTCTGCAGGGTAAAAGTCTTGTCCCTGGAAGTGCACGTGGTCTCCCTTGAGAGGGACAAGCATCCCTAGAGTCAATTATCCAAAGAGGTGGCAGGTTCCCGAAAGGCAGGCCTCAGGCAGTGAAGAGAATCTTGTTTCTCTCAGAGCCGCATTTCATAGGCACCGTTCTTCAAGGAGTCAAGACGCCCGGGGTGCGCTCCTGGGTAACAGGTGCGGAAGTGATGCCCACCCCATGAAGATGAGCTGGAAGCGGGGATAAGGGGAATCCTTTCGCTGCTGAGGAGCAAATCACAGTGCAGCATCCTCAGCATCCTCCCTGGGCTGGTTTCTTCTTGGCTTTCTTCCCAAGGCCTCAGTAAAGTACTGGAGAACGCCAGCACTGCCCACACTTGACTTGTTAATGTGCATTTCTGTGTGAGAATTAATAGTAGGTCCTCCAATAAGAGCTAATTTTTATGTTTTTAAACTCATAAAAGAAGAACAGGAGTATAAAGAATGTTTAAGCAGAATTACATGTCTTCTTGTGATTCATGCCTACAAGTTCTCACCAAACACCTCTTCCCCAATGGAGAGGCTTTTCCCTCTCTTACCAACCAGATCAGGTAGTTAGGTCTTTCTGTGTAACCAACCATTCCAAAACTTAGTGATGGGAAACAACAACCATTTAGTATTAACTCATGATTATGTGGGTGGGCAATCTTGACTGGGCTGGGCTCAGCAGGCCAGTTCTCCTGCCAGCCTCCCCCGTGCTCACTCCTATGGCTGCAGAGAGCTCACAACTGGGATGGGGGCCACTTGGCGTAGGATGGCTCCATTCATGTGACTGGCAGTTGGTGGTGGCTATCATCTGGGGTGGCAGGTGTCACTGGGCCACATGTCTCTAGAAGGCTTGCCCCAGTTCATTGACCTTGTGTTGGTTAAGGGCTTCCAAGAGCAGCAGGAGAAGACAACTTCAATGTACATGTGCCTTTAAGATCTCTGTTTGTGTCACATTTGGTAATATTCCATTGACTAAAACAAAAGCACATGGCCAAGTCCAGAGTCAGTTTAATAGGGCCCTACCCAAGGGTGTAAAGGGAATTATCGTGACCATGTTGTCAATCAGCCTTAAACAGCCTGGATCTTAATCCATAAGACAGGAAAGAATTTTCCTTAGACACATAACATACCCACACACATTCACACACTCACAGCCACACATGCATCTTGCATATTCTCACAGTAATATACACACACATACATATCACAGCCACACATGCCCCAGACATGTGGACACATCCCCATAAGAGAGAGTAACATGGATATACACATAAAACTACTCATGTGAATAGGTATAAAAGTCAACTTACAAGGCAAGGTTTTTGCTGTACATACTCTGCTTCATTTTAACTCCCAGCTTTTCCTTGAGAAAATCTGCCACGGCAAATTCTTGAGGAAGAATCTGCTGCTACAACCCATCCTTTGATATGAAGGGTTAAGCGATTAAAGATGACCTAGCCTGCCAGCTGCAGGCCCGACTCTGTGGTCTGATTTCTCAAGATGATACAGCTCACTTCCCAGCGGTGATTGCAAGATTTAAATCTAAGTCAGGAGAGAGAAAAATGCAATTCTTAGTACGATGTTAGTTAGAGCACAGCTAGAGACAGCATAACCAATGAACAGACAAGAGTTTTATAGAACTGTTTAACCATCTTACTAGATAGGAAACAAGGAGATGAATTTTCATAGAGTTTCAGAGCTGCAGGGCTTTAGGAGGTCCCCTGACCTGGCTCCCAGAGTATCCCAAATGGATGTGTGATGTTCTAGAAAAGATATAACTTTTTAAGTAAAGATCTCCTCATTTTCTACTGAAAGCATATGACTCTCTTCTATGTTTTCACATCTCTATGCATATATTATCAACAATTTATAATTAATAAGTGTTTACACTCATAAATTTTTAAGTGACAATATTATTGAAAAAATACGTTAAAAATAGGATTCCATATATTTTCATTTCTCCCAAGTTTCTTATGCCAGAGCGGGGTGGGGGGATTATTTTTCCCTATACAGGCAAAATTTCTAGAGAATTTATATCTGAAGAGCCAAACAGGGTTTCAAATATAGAACACTCTTGTAAGCTCTCCATATCTCCCTATAGATTCCCAGCCCAGGACTGAATCTGTATATCCAGCCCCCAACTCCACCATCTGAACTTCCTTTTTTTTTTTTTTTTTTAAAGCTTACCCCCTGCATACTGCTTCCATGATCCAGCCAAGCACAGCCCTGCCCTCTCCCCTGCTCAAGCCTACTGGCTGCTGGATCACACCCAGTGTGTGTGGGTGTGTTCGGGCTGCTATAACAAAAATACCATAAACTGGGTGCGTAAACAACAAACATTCATTTCCCACAGTTCTGGAGACTGGAAGTCCAAGATCAAAGTGCCAGCAGATTCCGAGTCCGGTGCGGCCCTACCTCCTGGCTCATAGGTAGTCATCTTCTCACTGACATGGTAGAAAGGGCAAGGGATCTCTCTTAATCACCTTCATGAGGGCTCCACCTTCAGAACCTACTCCCTTCCCAAAGGCCCCGCCTCCTAACACTATCACATTGGGAGTCAGGATTTCAATATATGAATTTGGGGGGAGGGGGGGACATAAAATTCAGTCCATGACCCCCATACTTAGAAACACAGTGGAGAAACTGCAGAAGCTTGCAATGGGGGGGTGGGGGCCGGGGGGGGGGGTAGTAAAAGCAGCTGCTTCAGGTTCAGAAAGCTGGTTATGATAAACGAAGACAATAGTTTTGAGGTACACTACCAATAACCAGTCAACGTAGGAGAGGCCCACCGATGCTGTTCCCCTCAGGCCTGCAAACCCAATCGCCTAGAGACCCAGGCAGGTGGGCAGTAAGGTGTACCTGCAGGGTGATGTCCTGTCTGCTCGGCCCTAGGAACAAGGGCCCAATGTGCCCAGACCTTCTGAAGTCTCTTTTTAAATCTTAGCAACTAATTAAAATTATAAGTCTGTCTGCAAGCAAGTACACTAATTAGTTAATTAATTAATTAATTAAGCAAGCAAGCAAAAACAGTCAATTTTTCAAAGTCCATACCCTGATCTTAACAATCCCAGTAAAACAGTGGCACCTGGGTGGCTGAGTCGGTTGTGTCAGACTTCAGCTCATGATCTCACAGTTCCGGGGTTCGAGCCCAAGCCCGGCGTCTGGCTGTGCTGACAGCTCACAGCCTGGAGCCTGCTTAGATTCTGTTGTCTCCCTCTCTCTCTGCCCTTCCCCCACTCGCACACATACACACTCTCTAAAAATAAACATATAAAAAAAAAAATCCCAGTAAAACAGGAAAGGACAGGACTGCTCCTCAAATCCCATTATCCAAAGATATCCTTGATCTGATTCAAAACGCAAGTCCTTTCTCGGGGTCCTCATCCTGCCCTCCAGGGCTGAGGACAGCCTTTCGCTCCGCAGCTGGGGTAAGCAACTCTACCCCAGCACAGTGCGACGTTTAGGAACAAACGCGTACTTCCCAAATTAAACCCAAGTTAAACCTTGCCCTGGTTTAGACTTCCAGGTCCTCTGCGGCACCTCTAAGTTCAGGTTCATTCATAGCTGATTTTAAAAGTGATGGACCAAAAGCCACCAACCTCCTGACTGCAGTATCTCAACCATCCCCACCATCCACGAGCCTCTTCGGCCTGGAGAAGCCCCTGGGACGTAACTTTCCCCAAGGCGCGCGCACGCGCAGGCACGCACTGACACACGTGCGCGCACGCATACATGCGCTCTGGGAAAGGGCGACGCTATGAGGAAAAGGTACGTTCCGCTTTAACAATATCGTAACCATAGAACTACGCCAGGATTTTTTTCAGAAGCTTTTAAAAACGAGCACAACCCACTCATCAAACGATCGATGAAAACGGGAATAGTAAAGCCGGTGATAAGTGAAGTTTAAATTTGACGAGGCAGCACTGCTCACTCAAATGGTGAGTGGGGAGCCTACCCCCACTCAGCCGCGGCCCTCCTATCCAGGAGCGCAGGTGGTGTCACATTGCCTCAAGGCACTGGCCTGCAGTCCTGTGCACCAGTGAGCAGTTGGTCATGCCCATTTGACAGAGGAGAGAACAGAGGTCCAGAGAGATCATAAAGGATTTGTGCTAGAGGCAAAAAGAAACAGACTCCTCTCCCACATCTGGAATGGCATTCCCCGCCTCCCTGCCTGTCCAAACCTCCTATCCCCCCAGCACTGTTATGGGGCTGGAAGCTGTATCCCAAGCATCCAAATGCAGGATCCAAGTCTTCTATTCTCCCATCTGCACCCGGAACCTAACACGGGACAGACTGCACAGTAGGCGCTCTGGAATAGAGGTTGTGGTCACACATACAGAAAAGTCTCTCGAGTCTGCCAAATACAATATCAGAGTCAGGGCAGCCAAGAGAGGCTGCCAGGAAGGGGACGGTGGGGTTCTGGAGGTCAGAATGCAGCAAATGCCTCCCCAGCACTCCTTGAGCTCAAAGGCTGGGATTTCATATCTGATTCTCTGCATCAGAATGATTGTTTTAAAGGGCCAAAAACATCAACAGAACACGGAACAAAAAAGATCAGCCCACTGTTAAGCCATGCTAGCTGACTACCACTCCTGCAGCCTGTCCTATGAGGCAAGGCTGTCTCCAAGAAGGCAAAAAATACGAAGTCCCCACCATTGGGAAGCTGATGATGAGTGTGGGAAGCCAGTGTGTTCCTAGACATGAATTAACCGTGAGGTTCCCATCTGAGTTCTCAGCCCCTTAAGTGCTCTTGGGGCACCCAGTTCAGATCTCTGAAAAGATGTGAGGGCACAAAAAGTCGAGAGGACTTTCACAGGAGGTTTGAACCTGGGCCTTGGACCAAAAAATGAGCAGATTGTGATGGAATACATGGTGAGGTAAAGGGGGCCATCGCAGGCAGACGCAAGAACCACAGGCTCAAAGGAGTGCAGTTGGAAATGAGACATCGGACACACCTGACCAGGAAATGGGGTCTAAATTGGGAAAAAGAGAAATGATACTAGAGGGTCAGCAGTTCACATCCATGGCCCTTTGATACTGAGGAAGAAGCTGAACTCTTTATTCACTTGGCAGGGAAAACAATATCCATGATTCCCAGCCTTTGGCGTTTAGCAGGAGTGGAAACAAATATATGCAAGATGGGGAACCAAACAAACAAACCAAGAACTATCCCTAGACCCAGATGGTACCAAGGCCTAGTGTTGGACCCGAGGCACTTGCAAATGGTCTCAGGACAGGGCCGGTCTGTCCCACAGTCACCAGGGCAGTTCTGGAAGCCAGCAGGGTGTTCATGCCAGCACTTGCCTCCCACACACATACTCTTCAAGCACTTCTCAGATGGCCTTGCTGGAGCCACCTCCCACCATCACCCTGCAGTACTGCTGGGAGCACTTATTAGGAGCACCTGGACCCTCAGAGACTCTCAGCCTGAGGACAGGCTGCCCAGGTGCACTCGGGACAGCTGTTTAATAACCCATCTGTTAAACCTCTGCCAAGGGTAGGAGATACGGCTGTAGGTGATGCCCTGGGCTGATGAAGCCAGAAACAGTTTGACACTAAATACCCCTCTCCAGAGTATAAAAGGGATAAAAGAAAATTAAGACATTGAATATAAATCTGGCAAAATAAGTTATTCATTTTTCATTTCAGCTTCATAACAGGAAATATAATACATAGCTTGATATTAAAGACTCATTGTAGGAGAAAGTGGTGATGCTCTGGGAGTGATTGGAGAAGCACCTGGATAGCCCATTAAAAGGCTTCCCAGTTTACCTGCCCCAGTGCCTTTTTTTCCATTTTTCCACTATTAGACCCTTACTGATACACAAATGCCCCATTAGGAACTCCACAATCTTTTTTTTTTTTTAAGGATTAGTATAGTTTCTTCTATTTTTTATTGAAATATATTTGACATATAACATTGTATAAATTTAGGGTGTACAACCTGTTGATTCGATACATTTACATACCATAATATGATTGCCATTGAATGATAGCTAGCACCTCTTTCACACCACAAAATTACTTCTTTTTTGTGGTAGGAATAATTAATATCTAGTCTTTTAGCAAGCTTGTTGATTATAATACAATATTGCTGTTTATACTCACATACTGTGCATTAGATCTCCAGGACTTATCTATCTTCTAGCTGCAAATTTACACCCTTAAACATCTCTCCTATTCTCCCACTCCCTACTCCTTAACAAACACAATTTTCCTCTCTGTTTTTCACCAGTCTGGCTTCTTTAGACTCCACAAGTAAGTAATATCCTATAGTATTTGCCTCTCTGACTTATCTCACTTAGTATAATGTCTTCAGGGTCTATACACATTGTCACAAATGGCAGGATTTCCTTCTTTCTCATGACTGAATAATATTCCATTGTATATTGTATGCCACACCTTTTTTTAAATGTTTATTTATTTATTTTGAGAGAGCGTGCACTCACTTGCCCAGGGGATGGGAAGAGAGAGGGAGAAAGAATCCCAAGCAGGTTCCACACCATCAGTGCAGACCCCTATGTGAGGCTCGATCTCACAAACCATGGATCATGACCTGAGCCAAAATCAAAAGCTGGATGCTTAACCAACTGAGCCATCCAGGTGCCCCACCACACCTTTATCCATTCATCTGTTAATGGACACTTAGGTTATTTCTGTATCTTGGCTATTGTGAACAATGCTATAGTAAAAATGGGAGTGCAGATATCTCTTTGAAATCCTGTTTTTACTTCCTTTGGGTAATAGAAGTGGAACTAGAAGTGGATCTGCCAGATCACGTGGTAGTTCTATTTCTAAGTTTTTGAGGAACTTCCATATTGGTTTTCCATAATGGCTGTACCAATCTACATTCCCAACCAACAGTGTACAAAGGCTCACTTTTTTCCACATCCTCACCAATACTTGTTATCTCCTGTCCACTTGATGAGGAACTCCACAGTCTGGTTTTACCAGGCTACTTGGGGTTTCCCCAACATGGCACACTCCCCAGATCACCAATCCTCCCTGCTGGCCAGAACACCTCCCTACCTTGTCTGCCATGTGGACTTCTGCACCTTGACTCAGCTCAAACATAGCCTGAGCTATTCCCACAGCACTGCATCCACCCTTCTTTATCACCAGCTTCATTGTTCTGTGATTTTCTATGTAGAGGTCTGTGCCTCCCTTCCCCCCACACGAAGTCTCTGAGGACAGAGGTGAAGTCTTATTTTGTATTCCAGGTCTTTACTGGGTGCACCTAATAAATGAGTCCTAAAGGGAAATGCTAGCACCTTTGTCACTTTCTGGTATTTCTCCTATGCCAGTTTGTCAAAAAAAAAAAAAAAAAAAAAAAAAAAAAAGGCAGGATTTGATGCAGGGGAATATCAGGAACCAGACAGAAAGTCATGCCTTGGGGGAACATATGTGGTTCTTTATCTCATCAGTGAGGTAGGTGGCCAGATAGAGGATAAACTGGTAAGGACTTAGGAAATGTAGAACACCCACATAGAAAGACCCTCCCAACCTGACCAGTGATGCCCAAAAGAGTAATAAGAGTTACAGTGAGGTAGAATCTTCTCATATTGACTGTCTGTCTGAGGCTTTCTGTGGCCTGGTGCCCACACTAATCATCTTACACATCTGATCTCACTTAATCCATACAACAAAACTGTTCACTTAATCCATACAACAAAACTGGGAGGTAGGTTATGCTCATCCTGACCCTGCAGGTAGGGACCCTGAGACTCAGAGCAGACAAGTAACTTGCTGACAGTCATGCAGCTGGCCACTGGAAGAGTCAGGACTCAAACCCGCTTGTCTACCTACCCCAATGCTCTTACTCTCAACTGTGCTGTCAAACAAGAAATCATGCTGGATCTGCAGGTCCCATTTGGTTGGTAAACTTGTTTATATACATTCACACTATCTTCCTCAAATCCTTTTGGACCATAGGAAGGCATTAAATAACTAATTATAAATCAATTGGGGTCTTAATAAATGAACATCCACATGTACATGCCTAAAGTCAACTCTCCCCTCAAGCGAGAGCCTCTCTGTGGGATGAGAGGTGCAGGTGTCAGACTCCTGAAGGAGGTGGTGCTATGGGACAGGAGAGAGGGTAACAGGAGAGGGAGAGGAAAGGAGAGGAGGAGAGGCTGCATGGATGAGTTGCCCATGAAGGCAGAATCTGCAGATTTTTTCCTCACAAAGCCCCTTTGCCACAGCCACTATTGCTCACGACCCTGCTTACTCACACCCAATCATCTGAAATTGCCTCATAAGGATTCCCCTGCACCCAGTCTTTTCTACCCCAACACAGCCCTCTCATGAATGCAGCCTAAGCTCAATGAAGCCCAGCTCAGACCTGCTCTGATGCATCTGGGGACTCCTATTGCCTTCTGACTGAAGTGTAAAATTCTCAGCTCAACTCAAGGACTTCTGTACTCAGCCTCCAACCAGAGCCATCCCAGTTACTGGCTCAGATACCCCAGGCTTCAGCTTCAGGCCCAGAACATGACTCACTGCATCCCAAATGAGCCTTGCTCTCCTTGTTCTACTGTTTCTCACTCTTTCCCTCCTCCTGGAACACCACAGTCTTCTCTCAGGCTGCCAACACACATTTGCGGAGCACCTACTAGAAATTAGGCATAGTCCTGGCATGTAAGAATAGATTTCTCCTTCAAAACTTGGTGTAAATGCTGACTTAAGCATGAATGTTCATCATTCTGATGAAAAGTAACCCCATCCTTCTCTATGTACTCAAATATTTACAACATTTGGTCTTGAGCCACAGGCATGTACCTGCCTCCCCAGCCCTGTAATCTCCTTGGGGCAGAGAGTATAGCACTGATGGCAGGAAGCTCCGTTGTTTACCATGGTGAGCCTCAATCCAAGCTGTATTGGACTGATGGACAGTTCCAGAGTTTCTGGATCATCATTTCCCATTGGCATGGAAGTCACACAAATATTGTATGTTATTGAAACCATCATCAAAATACCAAGGAATAACTTCTCTAAAGGATCTACATATTTCAAAGATAATGGAAATCACACAGTGGCCTGGATAATTTTGATTTACCAGACATTTCTCTTATTATGTATCCACACAACTAAACAAACTATGTGAATCCATAACACTTCATGCTATCAGACAGAGATGCTATGCAAGTCATGATACAGTGGACTGAAAATATGCGTGCATTCCCTCTTGGGCTTAACTTCTAACCTCTAATGTTAAAAATAAAAGTGGATGTCAGCCTTGGGACCCATTCATTCCATCACCCAGTTGGAAACCATTTATTAAACACCCACTGTATCAAGTCCTGTAGTTGCGCTATGAAGTAAATGGACATAGTTTCTCCCTCCAAGTGTTTCTGTTCTGGTAAGGAATGCAAGCCTTACTCAGATGAAGGAACCAAACTAAGCAATGCCCAGGCAAGAGCCAGGTAATGTAAAATTTTAATATGAAGGCTAAGGAAAAATCAAAGTAAAAGAAAAATCTGAACAAATTGAGGGTAATCATGAAAGATGCATTTGAACCATATTACTTTCTCAGTAGAGACTTACAATGAACCTCAGTAAACCCTGTATTAACCATCTTAGAGTGTCAGGTCCAGATGGTTTTAGGGGACGGAGGAGCTCCAGTGTGTAAAGGAATCTAATCCTTTAGGTCTCTCATTTATTCATTAATTCCCTTATTTATTATTCAACAAATATTTGTTGAGTGCTTACCATGTGTCAGGTAATATAGTGGTGAATGAGGGGGGACACGGTTCTTATAAACTCGCAGAGTTTGGAAGGCACTACAGGAGAGTGTCTTTTTTATATTGGAACTCCATGCCTTCAAATGTAGGTTGATATTCAAGTGAGTTGAATTCCTAGGCATGGAACGAATGATGATCAGGATGGAGGGGTGGTGTTTCCAGAAGCAGGATGCACATCAGGAAGAAACCTTGCTGAGAATAAATACCAGTCACAATTTATAGCATTTCAAGGTTTAAAGGTTTAAGATGGAGGTTTGGGGGGGGGCAGCCATGGAGAAGAAGAAAAAAAAGGAGCTTCTGCCCAAGAAAGGGAGGCCACAGAGGGTACTGCACCAGGGTCAGGCCCCACCCACAAGCTGAGACTTGGCATTGCTGACATGGATGGAAGAGCCAAGAAGTGAAAAAACAATGAAATGGGGCTGCCATCAATGAGGAAGCATCGTGCAATGCCAGCACTTGATTTGGAAAGTATTCATAAGCTTTCTTGGCTAGGATATTTAAGACAAAAATAGAAATATTCTCATCAATGATTTATAAGATTGCTTTAGAAAGATGGGGCAGAACCCAGTATCACAAAGAGTAGCAAAGCAGCCTCCTAACTTGTCACTGGGCTGGAGAGCATGGGCCAGGGGAGAGAGCTGTGAAGGTTGCTCCTTGCTCCTATCACAGAAATTAGAGCCGGAAAAAGCTGTCAATTTAGCTGGTCTGAAACTCAGAAATCCAACCACTTTTTGGACACTTTCAGCTGCAATTTTATTCTTCTCTGGGGTAGAAGCCTCCAGATGTGATATCTGAAAATTGCATATGCATTGTAGAGAATAACAATAATATTAACAAGTCAGCAGCCAATCAGGTAGGAATGTTATTCTAAACAGAGAGCATTCTCTTCTAGATTCCACCCTTGGAAGAGGAAGAGATGGGGGCCAGGGAATGAAATAGGAACATGTTTAGAGAGAGCAGAGAGTGAGAGAAAACCTTCCCATGATAAGGTAAGGTCATTTCACAGTTATGTGCTGAGCTTATTATAAGCCCATTCCTGGATTTTGTTCATTTTCAATTATGCACGAATTGACTCCATCTCTTGGACTCTCCATCAGAAACATGGGATGGGAGAGGAAAAGTCACTCATTTTAGACCTGAGCCTCATGGCTACACTGTCGCCAGCCCCCCTGGTCCCTGATACCACCTTCCTACATGAAGCTTCCCAGCTAATCTTCCTAAAACACAAAACCTCATTAATCACCATCACAGTGGGGACAACCTTCTGCCCCTATTGCCCACTTACAGGACCAAGATCCTACTCAGATGGACATATCTGAAGCCCTCCAGTCACCCAGTCAGACTATTGTACGCACAGGGTGCCAGGCTTTGGGGTGAAGAACTGGACAAGAAAGGACAGTCATACCCTCAAGGAGTATGTAGTCTACTGGGACTGGGGGAGTGAGGAGGAATCAACCAGTAATTAATCGGTGACAACAGTGCAGATGGCTGCAAAATATAGAGTATGGTGGGAGTGCATGATGGGTTACCTATTGTGGACTCTGGGGTCAGGCAATAAGGCCTCCTTAAAGCAGTGGTGTTTGAGGAAAGATGGGAAAACTGAGCCTCAGTTAGCTAGAAAAAGAAAGGGGCCGATTCTTCCAGGACAAGGACCATTGTGACACTGAGAGAGACCTTGGGCATCTGGAGAACATGATAGGAGCATGACGAGTGAGGATGAGACTGGTACCAGCTGGGGCTGGAGACCCGGGACAGGAGGAAGGGAGAAGTGAGAGAAGACAGGCCTAGAAGGGAGGGGCCAGGGTGAGTTATGAGGCTCCTGGAATACCAAGCCAACGAGATTGGGCTTTATCCTGGAGGCAGTGGGGAGCCATCGAAGACTGTTAAGGGAACTGGTGTGACCATGTCTATGTTATAGAAAGCTCATTCTGGGTGCAGAGTGAAGTACATGCGGGTCAGAGCAGGCAAGGCCAATGCACAGAGATCAGTTGGAAGACTGTGGCAGTGGTGTAAGTAGGACAAAATGAGGATCTGGTAGGAAGGAGGCAAAAGATGCAGAAGAGCTGCCAGGACTTGGTGACCAAAGGCTTCTGCAGGATGAGAGAGAGGATATGGTCAGGAACGCGTCACATCCTGGCTGAGATGACTAAGTGATGGAGCACTGACCAAAATAGGGACTTCGGGTGGGAGAGATCTTTTTCCTCATGAGAAGGGAAAATCCCTGAGTATGAGAGTCTCCTGACAGAAACCTCTAGCAGTTGTAAATAAGAGGCTGAGGCTCCGTAAGACAAAAGGGACTGGACATGTTCATGGGAACATCAGTGCATGACAGGGGATTGCCATCCTAAATGTGGTGTCCCTAGGAGACTGCACAGCATACAAAGAAGGCGAATTAAAGGACACAACCAGGGTAACCCCAACATTTAAGGACTGGGCTGTCGAGGAGACCAGCTGGAAGTAGAAGGTAATCAAAGAGACACAAGGTGTTTCTTGAAAGAGAAAGAAGATACTGTAAACAAGTGGTTAATAGCATAAGATGAAGACTAAAGAGATAGCTACCTTGGTTCTGGCCAAGGGAGCTACCAATGACTTTCCTAAGAGTAATTTTAGTAAAGTGGGAGAGGCAACAGCAGATCTAAACGCATTATGGAACAAATGGGAAACAAAGAAGCAGAGAAAGCCAGGGGAACCACCTATTTCAAGACCTCTGGCAAGAATGGAAGGAGGGGAAGCGGCATCCTGAGAGCGGAGCAAGGGCAGGCCTTTGGAAACGAACTGGCCTGTCACACTGGGGAGCTGTCAGGGATGCCTGCAGTGGGTGTAAATAGGGAGTGAGGGAGTGGCCCCTAAGCTCTGTTCCAAATTGGAGATCTGTGCCCCTCTGGAGAATGAGACATATCAAAACAGTCATTTCCATGGAGCCTGCTTAGGATTGGGAGCCGGACAGTGGCATTAGGATGTGAGGAATAGAAAGGAGCTCGTTCCTGTGCCTCTTGGAGACTAAGAGTGTGACTGTTCTCCCAAATGGGGTATCTGAACTGGAGGCCACACGGCTCAGGCTATAGTAAAGGACTCAAGAGGGAAGAAAGGCCAGGAAGTAACCAGTTCCATCCCCATGATAATGTCAGCCCCCCTCATCTCCATCCCGGAAGGGAGCCAGGGAAAGAGGACCAGGCTGAAAACAGATTGCATAACAGCGGTGCCAACCCACCCTCCTTCCTCTCCTCTGGGCCTTCCCTGAGGACTGAGACATTGCTCCCCTAGGATCCTGGCTGATAGGGAAGCAGGTAACACTCTGAGCCTCCACCTCCCCAAGTACGCGGTGGGCCCTGGGCTGGCCAGCTGCTGAGGCAGCCTTTCTCGGAGCCAGCCTCTCCACTTCCTGTGCCAGCCTCAGCTTCCAGCCCAGGAGCACTGGAGCAGGGAGGGGAGGAGGAAAGACAGACTGTTGGTCAAAGGTGGGGGGAGGAGTCAAAGAACAAGGAGGAAATAGCCATCTCTTACTGCAGAAGGAGTGTGTGTGTGCCTGTGAGAGACAGATAGAAACCTGGTTTCTATATCTGACCCTGGAGCGAGTCACTTTGCCTCCTCAGAAATTAATTGTGTAAAATGAGAAAAGTGGATTAGGAGATGCTTAAGGTTCCTTTCAGGTTGAAAATCCTGTGTTTCACAAATTTTGCATCTGTATATATATAGCACCCCCAGAGGCCAAAAGCATTATCAGCACAAAGCGAATATAACAAACCCCAATGAGGAAGACACGCTCACACGTGTGTCCCTGACAAACACGTGCACGCACACTCTGACACACACTTGTGTGCACACACAGGAGGGTGGGCGCTATGCTGTGCCTATAAGTGAGGAGAGTGGCTACAGCACGTTGGGACATTACACACAAAGGTTGCCGGACCGGCTTGCAGCCACACCTCTTCTACATACTAGTGAATACTAAATCTCAACTAACCTAAGCATTGGACAAATGAATCATTTTAGATTGTCAAGCTTTCTCAGTAGCTAAAGATTTACTCTTCAAATGACCAAAAGTAGTTTTAAAAGCAACCCCAGAGGGAAATATTTGGGGTATTTTTTTTAATGTGTATTTATTTTAGAGAGAGAGAGACAGAGAGAGAGACAGAGAGACAGAGTGCGAGCAGGGGAGGGGCAGAAAGAGAGGGAGACACAGAATCCAAAACAGGCCCCAGGCTCCAAGCTGTCAACACAGAGCCCAATGCGGTGCTCCAGACCATGAACTGTGAAATCATGACCAGAGCCCAAGTCGAACGCTTAACTGACAAAGCCACCTAGGCACCCCAGGTTTTTTTGTATTATAAATGTTCTAAGCCAATTCTGCCGAACCTGACCTCACTGTAGGTTCTTGATGGCGCTGGTTGTCTTGCTGCCCTTTCAATACACAGCGGTGTGCTGTGCCTGGGCTGGGCTCACAAAGTGGCTGACGAGGCTGTAGGATCATCCTCCAGTGTCCCTCGACCTTGTGTGTGATGAAGGTGGGGGGTGGGGATAGACAGACCACGGAAGCCTTCCCAGTTCAGAGAGAAGAGCTAGAAATAAAGACAAGGAAGGGTAGGCGGGCAGGTATCTGCCCAGAGTTGGACTTGAAGCAGGGAAAGGGGAGGTGGGCGAAAAAGGCACATTTTCAAAGGAAGCTGAAAGCTGGGGACTGGGCCCATCTCCTGCTTGGGTGGATCTGGGCAACCTGGGGCTACCACCCAGAGGGATAAAAGGAGAGTGGGCTTAGGCAGAAAAATGAGTTAATGTGAATTTCATCAATTCTTTCCCTAACGTGTGGGAGAACTCCAGAAGCTTTCTGGTTGCCATCTAGGGCAAGAAATGGAGTAAGAGGAGTGCCTGGATGGCTCAATCAGTTAAGCATCAGACTTCAGCTTGGGTCGTGATCTCATGGCTTGTGAGTTCGAGCTCTGCGTCAGGGTCTGAGCATCGGGCTCGGTGCTGACAGCTCAGAGCCTGGAGCCTGCTTCAGATTCTGTGTCTCCCTCTCTCTCTGCCCCTCCCCAACTCATGTTCTGTCTCTCTCTCTCTCAAAAATAAATAAACATTAAAAAAAAAATTAAGAGACCCAGGAAGAGAATGAGGCAGGTGGGTGTAGGAGGAGCTGAGACTCAGGCTCCCAGTGATCCTGATGATGGCTGGAGCCTCATGCGCAAAGGAGCCTGCCAACTCCCACTCTGGGGTGCCCAGGATGGAGACCATGGCTACCAGACCCTAGGGAGCCCATTGAGGTCCCCAATGACCGCACAAGGACAACCCAAGGCCCCCTTCCCACCACAGGGTATGTAAGCTCCCCTCACCTCAGCTGCCATTTTGGTTGGAGAGGAGATGGGGAGAAGATCCTCCAAAGATGGATGGTTTGCCCACATAAGACAGGATTACCCTGAAAAGAGAGTGAGTAGCCCTTTACAAGCACTTTTGAAGGCTTTCTGTCCCCTTGACACAGAAGAGATGGGGCCCTGGGGCAGGAGAATAAAATGGCAGTTAGAGAAAATAAAGACCATGGCACATTTGCCCCATCAATGTAGTCTCCAAATGCTACTGCAGGTGGCAGGTGGTATGGCTGGTTCTGGCCCCTGTGCTCACCTGTGCTGCCCCTGCCTGAGGATCCCTTCCTAGCCCTTCAGGAGAGATCTCACCCCTGGGCTGATGGCCAGATGACAGGGGCATTTGCAGCCTGAGAGTCGGGGCAGGGCTGGGAGATGACAGGGTCCGCACCAGGGTCGCTGGCCAGAAGCCAAGGCAGAAGGCCCACTGCCTCCCTCTGAACCGATGACTCTACGGTGGCATCCAAGAGGGAAGCCTGGCTCGTTCCTGAGGCACCAGACAATCCTCATGGCAGTTCACCTTCAGGCCAGCCTCAGACTTAGCCTGTAAGATTTGAGGGACCAGAGAGGGCCTTGGGCTCCCCAAAACCTATATCCCAACAGTCTTCTTGCTGAGAATCTGTTTCCAAGACAAAGAACTGAAAAATGCAAGCAGGTGTGAGGAACATTCAGGCAAAGGGTGAGTGAGCTTGAAAGGGGAAAGGAAGTGTCCCTGGGGCAAAGCTGGAGAGGAACATTCAGCCTGGGGCCTAGGTAGGTAGGTGGACTAGGCCACAGGCCTCCTGGTCCTCCGCCACTGACAGCCCAGAGCTCAGTGCAACCGCTGGTACGACAGCAGCCAGGAAGACCCTCTGCACACAGTAACCTTCAAAGCCTTTCAGCTCTCAGGCCCTAGGTCCCTCTAGCCTACAGTCGGGTGAGTCCTGACTCTACTCACCTTAGGCCCCAACGGGCCACACAGCCCATTGT